CCAGAAATACAGTAGACCGAAGAAGATCTGTTTTTCTAGTATGTGAAACTGTGTCGTGTTTGGTAGCTTTATGTTTCTTCCTGTAACTGGCTTCTTATCCCTCTGGGATATGTGTTAATTTTGTGACTAATGATATAGATTAAGTGTTGTAAGTTTGAAATCTTAGAGTATGATATAACACGGACGTAGCCAGAATGTTTTCCACCCAAGGCTGCAAAATGTACTGATGTTATTTGAATCAGTTGTCCGGTTACATAGTTTTATTTTACATGTGAAACCTCAAGCTCAACTAGCTTGTATATTTGCACAAGCCCAGGTCAAACAACTAATTGTGTTTTCCTATCAAACAAGTCACAGTCGAGAGTGTTAGCCATCAACTTGGTAAGTGTTTTGGGTTTCTGTCTACATTGTAAGGTTTATTAAATGAGTCAATGACATGTATCATTTTTACATGTACTTTACCCTTTTCGTATGATGGTGTGAGATGATGATGGCGTGACGATGATGATGATGGTGCGAGATGGTGATGGCGACTTAAATTTGTGGGGTCCAGCCACAATAAACCAAAAGAAAAAGAATCAAAATTTTGGCAGCAAAAGGATCTTGTGAGTTGTTCACATGGGAAAAATAATAAATAAATAAAAAATGATATGGTGGCATGTGTTGGGCAGTAGTATTCGGTACAGGTTTGATCTGAATTACATTGCATTTCTCCCCTATAAATAGTGGGGGTCTTCAGCAAAGGAGAACGCACCAAGCAGAAGAAAAAAGAGAGAATAAGAGAGCAGAAAAAATATTTCTGTGTGTGTTATTTTTCAGTGAGATAAAAATAGAGTGTTTGAGTAAATCCTGTGGGTGTGGGAAAAATACACCGGGTTGGGTATCAACTCTATTACTTTTTGTTTAGGAGTGGGGTTCTCACTGGGTCACTATATTTTACATTTCTAGTGTAGGGGAGTGTGAAAAGATATTGTAATTATCTTGAAAATATAGTGAAATTGTTCGGAGGTTGTCCCGTGGTTTTTTCCTCTAATTTGGAGGTTTTTCACGGTGTCTTATTTCTTGCATATTTTATTTATTTGGGATATTCTTAGTATGCTCTGTGGTCGCAGTTTAATCTGAACTTCCACATCAGAAAAGAATTATTCCGGTGTTATTGCAAGAGTTTTTCTTTTGTCATTCTTGAGTTGCTGGGATTGGGATTATTGTTCACCATTTCACGTTAGTATTTTAATTTACATCTTCCGCATTTGCGCATCTGAGCCCAACAAGTGGTATCAGAGATCAAGTTGGGCTCTGTATCGGCCAGTGTAAATTAAATGGAGGAGAACGTGGGTACCATGGTGAAGCTCACAGCAACAAATTACTCTATTTGGAAGCAAAAAATGGAGGATGTACTTTTCTACAAAGATCTGTACGATCCTGTAGAAAAGGGAGACAACAAGCCAGATGACGTGAAGGATGACGATTGGAAAAAAATTACACAGGAAGGCTGTCAGTTTAATCCGACAGTGGGTGGATATCAGCATATTCCACCATGTTGCCACATATTCGAAAGCCCATACTCTGTGGAACAAAATTGAACAAATGTAACAGAGGAAGTCTGCACAGAATAAAGCTTTCGTCATTAGAAAGCTTGTAAATCTAAAATATCGGGATGGAAGATCAGTTGCAGAGCACCTGAATGAGTTTCAAGACATGGTGAACCAACTCGTTACCATGGACATGAAACTTGATGAAGAGCTGCAGGCGTTGTTACTTTTGAGTTCTTTACCGGATAGCTGGGAGACTCTGGTGGTCTCGTTGAGCAACTCTGCTCCTGAGGGAAAACTGACTTTGACCCAAGTCAAAGACAGTATGTTTAATGAAGAAACAAGAAGAAAAGACTTTGGGGCAAGCAGTTCCCAAGCCCTGGTCACAGAAACCAGGGGGAGAAGTAAAAGCAGAGGCCGGGATAACAAATCCAGAGATAAATCACAATCTCAACCCAGGAGAAAGTTCAAGTGTTATCACTGTGGTGAAGAAGGGCATATCAAAAGAAACTGCAAAGCCTGGAAGAACAGAGGTTAGAGGAACAACAGATCAGAGAACGGTGAAAATACTGCAACCCCTGTAATCAATGGGGAAGTGGTGTTGCTCTCTGTTGAAGAAGAAGAAGAGTGTCACGTTGCAGATTCATGTGTTGAATGGGTCATTGACTCAGCAACATCATACCATGCAACCTCTCACAAGGAATTCTTTTCTCTATACAAAGAAGAAGACTTTGGTAGAGTAAAGATGGGCAACAACAGCATTGCAAATATTGTGGGAGTTGGTGATGTATGCATTCAAACCGATATTGGGTGCACAATAACACTGAAGGACGTACGACATATACCAGACTTACGTCTGAATCTGATCTCTGTGCATGCATTGGATCTAGCAGGCTATACTAACAATTTTGGTAACGGCACGTGGAAGCTTACCAAAGGATCTTTGTTAGCTGCTAGAGGTACAGTGAGATCGACATTGTGTAGAACTCAAGTGAAGCTGATCAAGGGTGGATTGAATGCAGTCGAGGATGATGCTTCACCAAATTTGTGGCACAAAAGACTGGCTGACATTGGTGAAAAAGGATTGCAAATTTTGGCAAGAAAGTCCCTCATCCCATTTGACAAAGATTCAAACCTAAATCCTTGCGATTATTGTCTCTTTGGGAAGCATCATAGAGTGTCTTTCAGCAAAACCTCGAAGCAGAAAGAGAATGTGTTGGAGATGGTGTATTCTGATGTATGTGGACCCATGGAAGTGGAGAGTCTCGGTGGTAGCAGATATTTCGTGACATTTATTGATGATGCTTCACGAAAATTGTGGGTGTATTTCTTGAGAACGAAGGGTGAAGTGTTTCAGTATTTCAAAAGGTTTCATGCCATGGTGGAGAGACAGACTGATAAACCTTTGAAGTGTCTTCGCTCAGATAATGGGGGTGAGTATACTTCCCATGAATTTAAGAATTATTGTGCTGATCATGGTATCAGGCATGAGAAGACTGTACCTGGAACCCCACAACATAATGGTGTGGCTGAAAGAATCAACAGAACCATTATGGAGAAAGTGAGGTGTATGCTAAGAATGGCTAAGCTACCTAAGTCATTCTGGGGTGAAGCTGTTCTAACGGCGTGCTACTTGATCAACCGATCTCCATCTGTTCCTTTGGGCTTTGATATCCCTGAGAGAGTATGGTTCGGACGTGATGTAAAATACTCTCATTTAAAGGTATTTGGATGCAAAGCTTTTGCTCACGTAAGCAAGGAACAGAGAAAAAAACTTGATGATAAAGCCATTCCTTGTATATTTATGGGCTATGGAGATGAAGAATTTGGCTACCGGTTATGGGATCCAGAAAATCGAAAAATTATCAGAAGCAGAGATGTAGTGTTCCATGAGCAAGAAACTATGACTGATTCTGCTTCACCAGAAATCAGAGAACCAAGTGGTAAGGTGGATCTTTCACCTGTCAAACCTCCTGGAGATGCCACACCAGGGGGAGAGTGTGATGGAGAACTCAGGGTTGATGATGAGCCAGTAACAGAAGATAGTGATGGTGAAGGTGTCGAGCAGGAAGACCTCGAAGCTCCACCACAGCTCAGGAGATCAAGTCGAGCGATCCAACCATCTACGAGATACCCTAGTTCCACGTATATTACCGTCACTGAAGAATGGGAGCCAGAAAGTTTTGAAGAAGTACAGACTCATAAGGATAAATCCTAGTGGATAAAAGCAATGCAAGAAGAAATGGATTCACTGGTGAAAACGAAACTTATGAGCTTGTGAAGCTTCCAGAAGGCAGAAAAGCCTTGAAATGGATGTTCAAGCTTAAGAAAGATGGTGACAAGTTGTTGAAGTACAAGGCTCGCTTAGTTGTGAAAGGATTTGGACAAAAGCGAGGAATAGATTTTGATGAGATATTCTCTCCGGTTGTAAAGATGAGCTCTATTCGAGTAGTACTCGGATTGGTGGCTAGCTTGGATCTGGAGCTTGAACAACTAGATGTGAAGACTGCATTTCTTCATGGAGACCTAGATGAAGAAATCTACATGGAGCAACCAGAAGGATTTGAGAAGACTGGAAAGGAGCACATGGTTTGCAGATTGAAGAAGAGCTTGTATGGATTGAAACAAGCTCCTAGACAGTGGTATAAGAAGCTTGACTCGTTCATGGCGAGCCATGGATTTACCAAGACTGATGCAGATCATTGTGTGTTCGTTAAGAAATTTCCAGGTGATAGATACATTATCCTTTTGTTATATGTAGATGATATGTTGATAGTGGGACAGGATATGAAGTTGATTGGTGATTTGAAGAAGGAATTAGCAAAGTCCTTTGAAATGAAGGATTTGGGCCCTGCGAAACAAATTTTGGGCATACAGATCATGCGACACCGAAAATCCAAGAGGTTATGGTTATCGCAAGAACAATATGTGAATCAGATTCTGGAGAGATTCAACATGAAATCGGCTAAGCCGGTCAATACACCGTTGGCCAATCACTTCAAACTCAGCAAACAAAATTGTCCTACGAGTCAAGAAGAAAAAGAAGCTATGGCGGGTGTTCCATACTCCCCGGCAGTCGGGAGTTTAATGTATGCCATGGTTTGTACAAGACCAGACATCGCTCACGCGGTTGGAGTTATTAGCAGGTATCTTTCCAATCCTGGAAAGGATCATTGGGAAGCTGTGAAGTGGATCTTGAGGTACCTAAAAGGCAGTGCAAATAAGTCCTTGAGATTCGATAAAAGAAACCCAGTTCTTGAAGGTTATACAAATGCGGATATGGCAGGTGACCTGGATAGTAGAAAATCTATTTCAGGGTTTGTGTTTACATTTGCAGGGGGAGCTGTATCTTGGCAATCTAAATTGCAGAAATTTGTTGCTTTGTCGACTACTGAAGCAGAGTATATTGCAATGACAGAAGCAGGAAAAGAAATGCTTTGGTTGAGGAGATTTCTTCAACAATTGGGAATGAAGCAAGAAAGGTACGATATCCATTGCGATAGTCAGAGCGCATTGGATTTGAGTAAGAATGCAATGTATCATTCTCGCACGAAGCACATTGATGTCAGATATCATTGGCTGAGTCAAGTAGTGGAAGAACAACAGTTCAAGTTGGAAAAGATTCACACTGATGAAAATCCTGCTGACATGATGACGAAAGTTGTAACAGGAGGAAAGCTTCAACTTATTGCCGAGTTGATCGGCATGTAATGCATGTGAGACTTGCAGAATATTACCCTTGGCTGGAGAGGGAGAATTGTGGGGTCCAGCCACAATAAACCAAAAGAAAAAGAATCAAAATTTTGGCAGCAAAAGGATCTTGTGAGTTGTTCACATGGGAAAAATAATAAATAAATAAAAAATGATATGGTGGCATGTGTTGGGCAGTAGTATTCGGTACAGGTTTGATCTGAATTACATTGCATTTCTCCCCTATAAATAGTGGGGGTCTTCAGCAAAGGAAAACGCACCAAGCAGAAGAAAAAAGAGAGAATAAGAGAGCAGAAAAAATATTTCTGTGTGTGTTATTTTCAGTGAGATAAAAATAGAGTGTTTGAGTAAATCCTGTGGGTGTGGGAAAAATACACCGGGTTGGGTATCAACTCTATTACTTCTTGTTTAGAAGTGGGGTTCTCACTGGGTCACTATATTTTACATTTCTAGTGTAGGGGAGTGTGAAAAGATATTGTAATTATCTTGAAAATATAGTGGAATTGTTCGGAGGTTGTCCCGTGGTTTTTTCCTCTAATTTGGAGGTTTTCCACGTTAAATCTTGGTGTCTTATTTCTTGCATATTTTATTTATTTGGGATATTCTTAGTATGCTCTGTGGTCGCAGTTTAATCTGAACTTCCACATCAGAAAAGAATTATTCCGGTGTTATTGCAAGAGTTTTTCTTTTGTCATTCTTGAGTTGCTGGGATTGGGATTATTGTTCACCATTTCACGTTAGTATTTTAATTTACATCTTCCGCATTTGCGCATCTGAGCCCAACAAAATTTTCTCCCTCTGCTGGTCACGAGAGAAGAGAGCAGAAGAAAGAAAGTAGAAAAAAAAAGAAAGCTACGGGCTCGATGAATTAAACTAGAGAGGAGAGATTACATGTTATATATATAAGCTTAGGGTTTCCCTTACTAACTTACTCTCCAAGCAAAACACAAGAGAGAGGGAAAAAACCGAGTAGGCTAGGCCCGGAGCTCTTCGCACCACGGGCGGGGCGCGAGTTTAGGAGCCGGGTTCTCGGTTTCTCTTACGAATATTCGGGCCCGGTCGGTTATTAAAATAAAACCAAAATATATATTTTTATATACATATATATAATACACAATAATATTTATTTATAATAAACATTAGACAAATAATAATAATAATAATAATAATAATAATAATAATAATAATAATAATAATAATAATAATAATAATAATAATAATAATAATAGCAATTAGGCATTTAGTAATAACAATAATAATATTAATAATAATGAAATAAATAAATAAATAATCCCAATCAATTCATAAACGAACGGGGCATTACACCCATATTTCTCTATAGAACTGTTTTGAATATTCATTTGGATTTATATGCATTGGTCATGCTGTTTTGTTTTTCTTGTTAGTATAGTGTTTCATTTCACAATAAACTCAATTCATTTGTTTGTTTGTTTCCTGTGACTGGGATTAGGTAGTTTTTAGTTTGGAACAATGCATGTAATTGTGTCTACTTGCTGTTTCAGAGTTAATATTCCTCCTGAATCATTCTTTGACGTATGTGAGTCTACTTCTTAATATTTTTTGCAGATGGACAAACATTATTTAATGCTTCAGGAACTATATATCAAACTTGTAAGAATGAGGATGGGAGATACTTGAGTGGGATAGTTACTTCTGCGAGTCTCTTTGGATTTGCTGCCGATGATATCGAGGTCAAGGTATAAATGTTATTCTTTTTGCACTCTGTTGATATGGACAAGTTTAGTTCAACTTGTTAATGAGTTTTTTGGAGGAAAACTGCACGAATGTAGTGTTGAAATGTTTAAAGTTATGAGACACCATCTAATGAATATGGACACACTCACACACACACACATTGAAATGGAGAATTCTAAGTGCTATCCAAATAGGCTCATTGTTACGAAAATTGATTAACAAGTTTTAAAACGCACGATTTATGGATGAATAATATACACTTGAACTCGTGCAGGTCTATAGTGTTGGGGGCACAATGTTTGATGGCATTATTGTAGGATACGATGCACACTACAATCTGGCTATAATTAACATTATTTCTGATGGGCAAATGCCTGCTGCGACATTGCGGCACTTAGATGATGCAGTCTCAGTACATCCTGCGTTGGCTCAATCTAGTCGGGACAAGTTACTGCAGCGTCCTCATTCAAGGGATTTTAGGATTTGTGCAGGAGACATGGTGGTCGCTTTGGGTCGTAATTGCAAAAATTTTGATCTCATGGCTGCCCCAGGCAAATTTAGGTAAGCCTGTTGAAATATGTTCTTTGTTTGAAGTAGTTTATTTCAATATAAACATCTCTTTGAAAGTTCAGCCAATAGCATTTTCAATGTTTACGTAAAACTAAGTCAATGTTTATCTCCTTTTACTTCAAGTTTTAATGTATCCAATGGGATATTTTTCACTTTATGATTTCATGTCTTCTTCTGTGCTCTTATGTCTTGATGATTGTGGATATGATTGTCCGGAATTAATGATGGCAACAAGCTTAATTACCAAGGTGTGTACAAATATTTGTTCTCTCTATATTTAACTTTTTGTTCAAGTAAAAATCAGTTGTTTCTTAAAACCAATCTCATTCTATTTCATTTTTGCTAGCCTGGTGTTGGGGGGCCTCTTGTCAATTGCTACGGTGAAGTGGTTGGGGTGAATTTTATGAATGAGCAATTCACTCCCTTTCTTGCTGTGAACATAGTGGCCAAATGGCTCAATCTCTACGATAGATATGAAAAGTTTTGCCGACCTTGGACTAGACTAGTTGTTACCAATCTTTATGCCACAAGCATAAAAGAAATGAATCGTATCGTCCCCAACAATCCCGAAGTCTCAAGAGGTGTTTTCGTTAAACGGGTATGTTATTATTTTTTTGTGTTTGTTCTATGTATAATTCCAAGAATGCTGAGCATTGCATTTCAGATTTTATTTTTAATTTTTATTTTATTTTATTTTGTTAACAGATAATAATTTTCTTCTTATATTCTTTTACTGATTTCAATTGCCCTGCTAAACCTTGAGACAGATACACGCTGGTTCTCCTGCCCATCGTGTTGGTTTAAAGCCGCATGATGTTATAATTCAGTGCAATGGAAGAGAAGTGAAAGGTTTCCTGGAGGTACGTACACAAATAATCATCTTTGTCATCTCTTACATCTTTTTCCCTGCCATTAGGAGTTATAGAATAAATTTGTTTATGCTTGTGTGACTTCTTTAGGGAACCAGAAAGGTAATTTTATAATCGTAAACTGTTGCATATCGTCATCTTTTATGTTTTTGTCGACAAATAGTTGGACGTTGTAGATTGCTTTATAGGATAATGTTTACTGTGTTGTTTATGAGCACCTCATATTTGGTCACTATAAAGTGACACTAATTCGTTTTCAAGTCTTACAAAAGTGTGCATGAAGCTTTATATAATCGACCAATTTCTGCAATTTCAATTGTTGTCATAACTCAAAATCTCTTTCTCTGCCGTGTCGATATTGATTCTTCCTCAACTCAGCACTGTCTATTCTATTTCCAGCTCCTTGATTAATTAAATGTCATGATATTGTAATTTAGCCTCTACCTGAACCTCGTTTATAATTTAACTTGTTAACCAGTTTTACTGTAAGCTGTTGAGTAAGTGTGGGAGCTGTGTCGAAGTTGGAGTGGTAAGGAAAGGTCACAATGGGGTTTTGAAGTTCAAGATACCTGTTGAGCAATGCGACCCGAACAATTTGAACAAGTAACTCAACTAATATTATTTGTGTTAACAAAGTTAATTTCTTTTATTTTATAATAATACTTTCATATCTCAAATTTTTACTGTATGTTTTCAGGTGGCCGCTTCCTACGGAACATAGTCAAAGGATCGTGAGAGGACAGCGTGGATAAGTGTTATATGTGGCCTTGTTTTGTTTTACAGATTTATCCGTAAAAGTTGCACATTTTTTGAGCAGTAATTATTTTCATTTTTATTATATAGCCATGTTCATTTGGTTTTGAAGAACTTGGATCAGTATGTCATTCGGCGATACCGTTGTCCTGGAATTGGTTTTATTTATTGTTGTAATTAAGCAGTCGACATTGCTTGAAGATATAATCTAAAGAGAGAAACTCGGAAATGATTTCTTCATGGAAGTACAAATGGTCAAAAGCTGTCATGTCCTTATTGTTTGTTCACCAGATGGATTTGAGTGCATCTTCAAATATATTGCAACAATTCATCGTGTTGAAGGCTGCTAAAACTAACTTACTACGATGTGGTTTGTTGATAACAACAAATTGTCGAACGTGGAAAATATAGGATTAGATGTGGTTGATAACAACAAATATAGATCGCCTAGAAATTTAGGGGTCAAGGGGGGCTGTTGTGAGTTATTAACAGCAGCCCCAGCTGTTAAACATGAGCCATTAGATCTATTCTAATTAAAAATAGATCCAAAGGCTATAAATAAATAAATAAAAAATAAATTAAAAATAGATCTTGAAAAAATGCCTTACCTAAACCTTACCTCATCGGTCGCCCAGCAGAAAAGGAAAACCTTTCTCCACGATCAACAAGCGAAAATCCAAAGGGTAAAATATTTTTTCCCATCCGAATTATCGCGGTTTTGGCGCATCACCATATAAATTATTTTTTTTTTATAAATCACCATATGAACTATACGGGTTTGTCAATATGCCCCCTAAACCGGATATAAAAGTGGTTTAGGGGCACATTGACAAACCCGTGATAGTTCATATGGTGGTTTTTAAAAGTATTTAGGGGGCACATATGGTGACCAAACAGCTTTTCCAGTCAAAACCACTTTTATATCTGGTTTAGGGGGCACATTGACAAAGTTGTATAGTTCATATGGTGATTTGTAAAAAAAAATAGTTTATATGGTGATGCGCCAAAACCGTGATAGTTGGGATGGGAAAAAGTATTTTACCCAAATCCAAATCAAACGAAACATGAGCAGCGAATATGATTATTTCAAGCTTCTTCTAATCGGCGACTCCTATGTTGGCAAGTCTTGTCTTCTTCTTAGATTTGCTGATGATTCAGATGTGGACAGTTACATTAGCACCATTGGTGTTGATTTTAAAATTAGGACAGTTGAGATTCCGCTGGCCAGGAGCGATTCCGGACTATCACTAGCAGTTATTATCGAGGAGCTCATGGGATCATTATTGTATACGATGTTACTGAGATGGAGAGCTTCAACAATGTTAAGCAGTGGCTGGATGAGATAGATAGATATGCTAATGACAGTGTTTACAAGCTTTTGGTTGGGAACAAATGTGATTTAGTTGAAAGCAAAGTTGTGGACACTCAAACAGCAAAAGTGTTTGAGGATGAGCTCGGGATTCATTTCCTGGAGAGTGGAGACTAAGACTCTATCAACGTGGAGCAGACTTCCTGGACTATGGCCGGCGAGATTAAGAAGAAGATGGGTAACTAACCGAGTGGTAAACAGAAATCGGCCAGCACTGTCCAGACTAAGGGGCAACCGATTGAGCAGAAGAGCAACTGTTGTGGTTAACTGGTTCATGTTATTTATCTCACTGTTTAGGGCATTGTACACACAAAAAAAAAATTGATAGCATTATGTGCTTTAAACATAATTGTGCCTTTCAACTCACTTTGAGTTCCCACAGAAAAAAAAAAGTAGTGATAAAAGAGGCATCGAGACTACATTCACCGGCCCCGTTGCTCGTCCCCCGTGAATCCACTCACGATACCAAAGTCGTGGGCTAAGACATATCATTCGGCACAAGGGTCGTGATCAACGCGTGGGCCATCAGTAGGGACCCAACATCGTGGGACGATCCTGAAAATTTTGTTGCCGAGAGGTTCTTGGACTCAGAAGTTGATTTTAGAGGTAAACATTTTGATTTTTGAGTTCATCCCGTTTGAAGCTGTTCGGAGGTGATGCCCTGGGATTATGTTCGGGTTGGCAGTTGACGAGCTTAGACTAACCAAATTGGTGCATCATTTCAATTTCAAACTGCCTAATGGAGAAAAAGAGAGGATTTGGACATGAGCAAAACTGGGGGAAAGACAATTCATGGAAAGCTTCCAATGCTTGTGGTGGCCACTCCATATAATTGTGTTAACTCCATTTGAAGCCTACTAAACTCGATCAAACAATATGGTTAACAATGAAAGGCGTGTGTGCTATATTAAATGTGTTGCGATTTGTAAACTTTGAGGAAATGAAAAGAAAGAAAGGAAATGAAATTAAAACAGTTGAGATGTTTCAAAACCTTTCTTGCAGTAGCATGATTAATTAATTAGGGTCATTGTTGGGTTGTTCTTAGTTTATTAAGTATAAAGATAATTTATTTGTTATTCGTTTATAGCCTTTGATCTATTTTAAAGTAGAGTACATCTATGGTCATTAATTAACAGCTGGGGCTGCTGTTAATGACTCACAGCAGCCCCCCCGAACCCGAAATTTAGACCCACCAAATTAAATTGGGGAAATTACATCGTACCTCGACTTTCTTAAGGGCTTAGTGTGTTAGGGGCTAAAAGGAAGGTCTCTAAAACTAGTGAAGGCAAAAATGGACCCCCTGTTATGAACTGTCACGAATTTCGTCCGCATGGGATTCATGTGCAACCAAGCCCTGAGCGGCTGCCGGAAAAATGCCTCGTCGTGAGCAGGTGGTAGCAAGAGGAGCCAGAGGCTGCAAGCAGCTGGGCAGTCGCGTAACACGTGAGTGATTGACTCCATCTCACCACAACTGTCACATGCAGCAGAAATCAAAAGGTGCCGTCGAGCTCGCTCCTCATTTGTAAGCAAGCGACCTCTGGCGGCTAACCATAGAAAATTTCGGGTCCTCTGAGGGACCGACAATCGCCATATATCCTTCCAGAGTTGTTTGTCGGGGTCACATTCAGGACCGAGCAGAGCCCGATAGGTCGATCGTGTAGAAGATTGACCATCATGAGAAAATCGCCAAAGCAGATGGTCCTCCCCAGCCGTGGCACTCGGGGGTGGTGTGCCCGCGATTCGAAGAATGATCGGAGAAGGAAGTAGGCCATGCATCATGTCCCAGTTCCACCTACCGTACTCGTCGACAAAGTTGGCCGCCGGTAGATTAATCACCTCGTCTGGAGGGTGACGAAGGGCAGCCCGTATGAGAGGTTCTTCCGACCCAAGCCAGGAGTCAAGCCAGAACCTGACCCGTTCACCATTGCCAATCGCCCACCGAGCACCTCTCGTGACATCAGGCAAAACTTTCTGAAGGGCACGCAGCAAAGGCACCCCGTACCACGCCGAAAATAGCCCAAGTCGGGTGTCGAGGTAAAGTCGTATTTGGCCTTTAAGAGACGAACCCACAACGACTCCGGTTTCGTCAACACTTCCCAGCCGAGTTTCATAAGAAGAGACTTATTCATGTGGCGTGGATCCTTGATACCCAAACCCCCCTCATCCTTCGGTTTACATACGTCTCTCCATGCAACCAAATGTACCTTCTTTCTTTCATCAGAGCTTCCGCAAATGTAAGCACGACTCCTCTGTTCAATACCATCCGTGATGGCGCAAGGTAGCTTCGCGGTTTGCATGGAATAATAGGGCAACACGCTAATAACGAATTGGGTGAGCGTCACTCGTCCCGCCATTGAAAGGAGTTTCGTACGCCACCAGCGAGGCGCGACTCCATTTTCTCCAAAAGATGGGCGTATGTAGCATTAGTCACTCGACCATGAAGGATAGGCATCCCGAGATATTTCCCCAGATTACCAGTCCACCGGATGGTTAAGAAATCCGCCAATCGATGCTGCTTCTTGTGCTCGGCGTTATCAGAGAAGAACACAAGTGTTTTTTTCGGGGCTCACCTTCAGGCCCGAAGAGAGACAAAAGTGGTCAAGTACCTGCTTCACAATTAATGCTTGCTTCTCCGAGGCTTCCAAAAAGAGGAGTAAGTCATCAGCAAACATCAAGAACGTGATTACAACCACCGACCGGCCAACGGTAATAAGGTATCATGCTAAACCCTCGACCGTTCGGCATATAAGCTGTGCCAGTCGCTCCATGCAGAGTACAAAGAGGTAGGGGGAGATGGGATCACCTAGCGAACTCCTCGAGTGGGTTGGAACTCCTCCCTAATCGTCCCATTCCATAGTAGATTCATTGAAGTCGATCTCACGCTTGCCATCACCGCCCGAATCAATTGGTTAGAATAGCCAGCGAGGCCCAATGTTTCCTCTATGAAATCCCATCGTAGGTAATCATATGCTTTCTCAAGGTCAACTTTAACAACCATATAGCCCATCGCCCCGCTTTTGCAACGCATAGAATGGATGAGTTCTTGCGCTATGACGATGTTATCCGTGATAACTCTCCCCAGGACAAAACTTGCTTGTGCAGGGTGCACCAAGCGAGGCAAGATCCACTTTATTCGGTTTACCAAAATCTTCGTGAAGAGCTTATATATGACATTCAACAAACTGATGGGCCGAAATTGACGGATCGAGGTGGCATTCTCAACCTTCGGGATTAGAATAATCAGCGTCTTGTTCACGGTGTTTGGGACCGCACCTTCTCGCCACATCTGACGAACGAAAGTACTCACCGACTGGCCTACAGTATCCCAATTCTTTTTTAAGAAAAGGGCATTCAGACTGTCCATTCCCGGCGCTTTTAAGGGCTTCATGCTCTGAAGGGCAGCCAAGATCTCGTCGTCTGAAATATCGGCAACCATAGCACTCAGCTCCTCACCGTCACACGCTGGGAAATAGTTGCGCACCGGGCCGAGGGCCTCAGAGGTCAGTCCTTCTGTATAAATAGTCTTGTAAAATTCGGTCGCCAAACTCCGGAGTGAGGGTTGATCCGTGATCCAGTTCCCATCGGCATCGACTAACCCGGTAATTTTGCTCCGTCACCTTTGAGATTTAAGTTGCCAGTGGAAGAAGGAGGTGTTCCCGTCGCCCATGAGGGACCACTCACTTACCGACTTCTCTACATCAACAACTCTTTATGGATTATGACATCATTCAATTCTTCTCGCAGTTGTGACTCGAGTACCACCAGGCTTTCTTTGTAGTAAAATTGTCTGCAGTGCTGGATGCCTCCTAGCCGATCCAAGAGTTGCTTCTTACGCTGAATAATATTGCCAAACATCGACCAATTCCAGGCCTTAGCCACCTCAACAAATTTCCTCGCTGCCTCGACGTAGCAGCTGGTGGTTGCCACGCATCATGCAACATCTCCGAGAAGCCCGGGTGAAGCAACCAGGCAGCGAGAAATCTAATCGGTTTCGGACCCTGTGGCTGAGCAAGTGGCCTACCAGCGCGAGCATAATGGGAGAGTGATCCGAATGGACCCTTGGTAGGAGGTGGAGTCGGCCAAGCTTGAATCTCTCCATCCAGGCCGTGTTCGCAATAAATCGATCAAGCTTCTCTCAAGTCTGCCATTAGCCCCGTCCCGAACCCAGGTGAAAAGGTGGTCGTCGGTCGGAGCTTCATAAAGGCTATTAGAGAAAATCCAATTAGAGAACTCCGAGCTAATGTTGCAATACTGCGAGGTACCCCATTTCTTCTCGGAGTGGCGAAGGAGACAGTTAAAGTCGCCCTCGATAATCCAAGTGTCTGAGATGTTTCGGGCCAACCTATCCAGATCAGTCCACAGTCGCCTGCGAACGATCATGTTGGGACTAGCATACACAAACGAGACCAGGATGTCCTCATTTTTTTTGATGTCCGAACATGTACCAATTGTCTAGTGTAATGCAGGATTTCTACAGCCACCATCTCATGCTAAAGGACCCAAATTCCGCCGGAAAAGCCCCTGGCTTCAATTCAGAACGAGTTTTCGAATTTAGTATGCTTAACAAAGGAGTCAGCGGTCGCTCCACTAACCCGAGATTCAAAAAGTGCTACAACGTAAGGACGATATTGGTTGGTTAAGGTGGAGAAGGCTCCTCTAAAAGCGGGCGGGCCGACACCTCGAACATTCCAAGTGATGATCTTCATAAGGAAACAAAAAGGGGTTGAATGGCACTCGCCTTTAATCGAGACGTTGGACAACCACATCCGATACCGCCTCAAGTTCCATAGCCTGGATGGTCGTGTCCATGCTAGTTGTCAAGGGCTCGCACTCGCTATGGTCTTCCGGCCATGGTTCTTGGAGTAGGACAGAGCGGTTACCATCCGTCATGAGGGCATCCCCAGAAACATTAACCGCAGGAGTCATAATGGGTTGGTCCTCATCAACAAGAATGGCGCGATGTTTGTTCGGGTCCAGTCTGTTGGTATTATATACTTAAGCTTTGCTTTAGTGGATATTACACTTGTTATTCCTT